AGGGGCCAATGGGGAGGGGCCAATGGGCACCCTAAGGGTCCCCTAAGTGTCCACCCTGAGGCCAAAATGGCCACTGGTCTTGAGGTTCTTCACCTCCTCTTGAGGTTCTTCACCTCCTTTGGATCTTCTTCACCTCCTCTTGAGCTTCTTCACTTCCTCTTGAGGTCCTTCACCTCCTGTTGAGGTTCTTCATTTCCCCTTGAATTTTCTCCTTCGGAGCTTCTTCTCTTGAGGTTCTTCACCTCCTTTGTACCTTCTTCTTTTGGAGCTTCTTCTCTTTCTTTTGGAGATTCTTCTCTTCCTTTTGGACCTTCTTCTCCTCCTTTTGAAGCTTTTCGTCCTCTTGAGGTTCTTCACCTCCTTTTGGAGCTTCTCCTCCTTTGGAGCTTCTTCTCTTGATGTTCTTCTCCTCCTTATGAGCTTCTTCTCCTCCTCTTGAGGTTCTTCACCTCCTTTTGGAGCTTCTCCTCCTTTGGAGCTTCTTCTCTTGATGTTCTTCTCCTCCTTATGAGCTTCTTCTCCTCCTCTTGAGGTTCTTCACCTCCTTTTGGAGCTTCTCCTCCTTTGGAGCTTCTTCTCTTGATGTTCTTCTCCTCCTTATGAGCTTCTTCTCCTCCTCTTGAGGTTCTTCACCTCCTTTTGGAGCTTCTCCTCCTTTGGAGCTTCTTCTCTTGATGTTCTTCTCCTCCTTATGAGCTTCTTCTCCTCCTCTTGAGGTTCTTCACCTCCTTTTGGAGCTTCTCCTCCTTTGGAGCTTCTTCTCTTGATGTTCTTCTCCTCCTTATGAGCTTCTTCTCCTCCTCTTGAGGTTCTTCACCTCCTTTTGGAGCTTCTCCTCCTTTGGAGCTTCTTCTCTTGATGTTCTTCTCCTCCTTATGAGCTTCTTCTCCTCCTCTTGAGGTTCTTCACCTCCTTTTGGAGCTTCTCCTCCTTTGGAGCTTCTTCTCTTGAGGTTCTTCACCTCCTTTGGTACTTCACCTCCTCTTGAGGTTCTTCATCTCCTCCTGGACCTTCTTCTCCTTTTGGAGCTTCTCCTCCTTTTGGAGCTTCTCCTCCTCCTCTTGATGTTCTTGACCTCCTTTTGGAGCTTCTCCTCCTTTGGAGCTTCTTATCTTGAGGTTCTTCTCCTCCTTGTGAGCTTCTTCACCACCTTTTGAGGTTCTTCACTTCCTCTTGGATCTTCTCCTTTGGAGCTTCTTCTCTTGAGGTTCTTCTCCTCCTTATGAGCTTCTTCACCTCCTCTTGAGGTTCTTCACCTCCTTTTGAAGCTTCTTCTTTTCCTCTTGAGTTTCTTCTCCTTTTGGATCTTCTCCTCCTTTTGAGGTTCTTCACCTCCTTTTGAGCGTCTTCTCTTGAGGTTCTTCACCTCCTTTTGAACCTTCTTCTTCTCCTGAGGTTCTTCACCTCCTCTTGGATCTTCTCCTTTGGAGCTTCTTCTCTTGAGGTTCTTCACCTCCTCTTGAGGTTCTTCACCTCCTTTTGAAGCTTCTTCTTTTCCTCTTGAGCTTCTCCTCCTCTTGGACCTTCTTCACCTCCTTTTGAGCGTCTTCTCTTGAGGTTCTTCACCTCCTTTTGAACCTTCTTCTTCTCCTGAGGTTCTTCACCTCCTCTTGGATCTTCTCCTTTGGAGCTTCTTCTCTTGAGGTTCTTCACCTCCTCTTGAGGTTCTTCACCTCCTTTTGAAGCTTCTTCTTTTCCTCTTGAGCTTCTCCTCCTCTTGGACCTTCTCCTCCTCTTGAGGTTCTTCACCTCCTTTTGAACCTTCTTCTTCTCCTGAGGTTCTTCACCTCCTCTTGGATCTTCTCCTTTGGAGCTTCTTCTCTTGAGGTTATTCTCCTTCTCTTGAGGTTCTTCACCTCCTCTTGAGGTTCTTCTTCTCCTTTTGGACTTTCTCCTCCTCCTCTTGGATCTTCTCCTCCTCCTCTTGAGCTTCTCCACCTCCTTTTGAAGCTTCTCCTTTTGGACCTTCTCCTTTTGGACCTTCTCCTCCTTTTGGACCTTCTCCTCTTGGACCTTTTTCTCCTCCTCTTGAACCTTCTCCTCCTCCTCCTCCTCTTGAGGTTCTTCTTTTGATCTTCTCCTTTAGAGTTTCTTCACCTCCTTTTGAGGTCCTTCCTCTTGGACCTTCTTCTCTTTTTGGACCTTCCTCACCTCCTCTTGAGGTTCTTCACCTGCTCTTGAGGTTCTTCTCTTGAGCTTCTTCTTCTCTTGAGGTTCTTCACTTCCTATGGAGCTTCTTCTTCTCCCTTTGAAGCTTCCTCTCCTCTTGGACGTTCTTCTCCTTTTGGAACTTCTCCTTTTGGACTTCTCCTCCTCCTCTTGAGGTTCTTCTCCTTTTGGTTCTTCTCCTCTTGAGGTTCTCCTCCTCCTCTTGGCCCTTCTCCTCTTGCCTCCCCCAGTTTCTCCTGTCCCACCCTCAGGAGGTTCCTCCTTCCCCGTTGGGTTGTCCCAGAGCCTTCAGCCTTGGCTGTGGTGACCTCAGCAGAAGACGAGGCAACGTCCATGACACTTGGAGCTTCTTCCTCTTTCCTGGAAAGTCACGTAGGGGGAAGGGCCAAGGCAAGAGGAAGAGGAGTAGGCCGAAGGTGGAGATGGAGCTGGAGAGACTCGGCATGGGGCTAGGTCAGTGCTGGAGCCTTTGGCCTTAGCTTCCTCCTCCTTCTCATCCTTCTCCTTCTTCTTCATCCTTCTCCTCATCCTTCTCTTCCTCCTCCTTGTCCTCCTTCTCTTCATCCTCCATGTCCTCCTCCTTGTCCTTCTCCTCCTCTTCATCCTCCTCCTCCTTCTCCTCCTTGTCTTCTTCACCCTTCTCCTTGTTCTTCTCCTCCTCTTTCTCCTCCTCCTTGTCCTCCTTCTCTTCATTCTCCTCCTCATCCTTCTCCTCCTCTTCCTCCACCTCCTCCTTGTCCTTCTTCTCTTCATCCTCCTCCTCCTCCTCCTCCTTGTCTTCTTCACCCTTCTCCTTGTCCTTCTCCTTCTCCTTGGCATTCGCCTTCTCTTCATCCTCCTCCTCATACTTCTCATTGTCCTTCTCCTCCTCCTCTTCTTCCTCCTCCTCATCCTTCACCTTGTCCTCCTCCTCTTCTTCCTCCTCCTCATCCTCCTTCTCCTCCTCCTCCTCCTCCTCCTCGTCCTTCTCCTCTTCATCCTCCTCCTCCTCCTTTTCCTTGTCCTTCTCCTCCCCCTGCTCCTTGTCCTCTTCATCCTTGTCCTTATCCTTCTCCTCCTTCTCTTCCTCCTCCTTCTTGTCCTTCTTCTCTTCATCCTCTTCCTCCTTGTCCTTCTCTTCATCCTCCTCCTTATCCTTCACCTCCTTGTCCTCTTCCTCCTCCTCCTTGTCCTTCTCCTCCTCAGTGTCCTTCATCTTCATCTTCCTCCTTGTCCTTGACCTCCTTCTCCTCCTCCTTATTCTTCTCCTTCTCCTCCTCCTCCTCATCCTCCTTCTCCTCCTCCTCCTCCTCCTCCTCGTCCTTCTCCTCTTCATCCTCCTCCTCCTCCTTTTCCTTGTCCTTCTCCTCCCCCTGCTCCTTGTCCTCTTCATCCTTGTCCTTATCCTTCTCCTCCTTCTCTTCCTCCTCCTCCTTCTTGTCCTTCTTCTCTTCATCCTCTTCCTCCTTGTCCTTCTCTTCATCCTCCTCCTTATCCTTCACCTCCTTGTCCTCTCTCTGATGTTCTCCTGCTATTGTTGTCAGCAAGTTTTTAGCTTTTGGGGTTTTTCCCCCCCTTTATTTTTCTTCTCGTCCTCCTCCTCTCCCTCCACCTCCCCATCCTTCTCCTCCTTCTCTTCCTCCTCCTCCTTCTTGTCCTTCTTCTCTTCATCCTCTTCCTCCTTGTCCTTCTCTTCATCCTCCTCCTTATCCTTCACCTCCTTGTCCTCTTCCTCCTCCTCCTTGTCCTTCTCCTCCTCAGTGTCCTTCATCTTCATCTTCCTCCTTGTCCTTGACCTCCTTCTCCTCCTCCTTATTCTTCTCCTTCTCCTCCTCCTCCTCATCCTCCTTCTCCTCATCCTTGACCTCCTCCTCCTCATCCTTCTCCTCCTCATCATCCTTGACCTCCTCATCCTCCTCCTTGTCCTTCTCCTCCTCTTCATCCTTGTCCTTGCCCTCCTCCTCCTCCTCTTTTTCCCCCCTTTTTCCTCCATTTTTTCCTCCATTTTTTTCTGACCATTTTCCTCTTCCTCTTTTCCAGCTTCTCTTCTACTTCTCCTCCCACTGGTGAAACCTTCAGGTAAGTCAACTTGGACCTACCCAAGACCAAACTCAACCAAGACCAAATCCAACCCAAGACCCAAGACCCAACCCAAGACCCAACCCAAGACCCAAGACCAAACCCAACACAAGACTCAAAACCAAACCCAACCCAATCCAAGACCCAACCCAAGACCATTCCTAGACCAAACCCAATCCAAGACTCAACCCAAGACCCAACCCAAGACCCAACCCAAGACCATACTCAACCCAATTCCCAACCCAAGACCCAACCCAACCAAGACTCAACCCAAGACCCAACCCAAGACCCAACCCAAGTCCCAACCCAAGTCTCAACCCAAGTCCCAACCCAGGACCCAACCCAAGACCAACCCCAAGACCCAACCCATGACCATACCCAAGCCAAGACCAAACCAAGGACCAAACCAAACCGAGGACCAAACCTACGACCCAACCCAAGACCCAAGACCAAATTCAACCCAAGACCAACCCCAAGACCAAACTCAAGACCCAACCCAAGACCAAACCCAACCCAAAACTGAACCCAAGACCAAACCCAAGTCCCAACCCAAGACCAAACCCAAGACCCAACCCAAGACCCAAGACCCAAGACCAAATCCAACCCAAGACAAACCCCAAGACCAAACCCAAGTCCCAACCCAAGACCCAACCCAAGACCAAAGCAAAACCAAAAATCCAACCCAAGACCCAAGACCCAACCCAAGACCCAACCCAAGACCCACCTGGACCTTCTTCCTCCCCTAGTCCTTCCTCCTCCTCCTCCTCCTATCCTGACGGTGACGCCGAAAAAGTTGGAATATCTGATCGGAGACATCATCACCTTCCGCTGCGATGCTCCCAGTTTGGGTGGGAAGAAAATCCAGAGCTTCCAGTTTTCTGGGACCAGTGGTTGGGCCGTGGAGATCAGGACCACCAAGAACTCCTACAACTACACCTTGACCATCTCCAGCCCCAAAGATGGAGGAGTTCACACCTGCTCCTACATCCTCAGGAGCTCCCAGAGGTCCCAGGAGAGCAGAGCCCTCCTGGTGGCGGTTCGAGGTGGGACTGGGAGGCAGTGGGAGGGACTGGGAAGGACTGGGAGGAAGTGGGAGGGATTGGGAGGGGAGTATGAGGCACATGGAGGGGAGTGGGAGGGATTGAGAGGGACTGGGAGGAATTGTGAGGGAGTGGGAGGGACTGGGAGGGACTGGGAGGGGAGAGGGAGGGACTGGGATCATACTGAAAGTGCCTGGGATCATACTGGGAATCCCTGGAATCGTACTGGGAGGGACTGGGATCATACCGGAAGTGCCTGAAATCCTCCAGGAAATGCCTGGGTTCATGCTGGAAGTGCCTGGGAGCAGGGACTGGGAGGAATTGTGAGGGAGTGGGAGGGACTGGGAGGGACTGGGAGGGGAGAGGGAGGGACTGGGATCATACTGAAAGTGCCTGGGATCATACTGGGAATCCCTGGAATCGTACTGGGAGGGACTGGGATCATACCGGAAGTGCCTGAAATCCTCCAGGAAATGCCTGGGTTCATGCTGGAAGTGCCTGGGAGCGTACTGGGAGGGACTGGGATCATAAATGCCTGGGACTGGGAGGAATTGTGAGGGAGTGGGAGGGACTGGGAGGGACTGGGAGGGGAGAGGGAGGGACTGGGATCATACTGAAAGTGCCTGGGATCATACTGGGAATCCCTGGAATCGTACTGGGAGGGACTGGGATCATACCGGAAGTGCCTGAAATCCTCCAGGAAATGCCTGGGTTCATGCTGGAAGTGCCTGGGAGCGTACTGGGAGGGACTGGGATCATACTGGAAATGCCTGGGATCATACTGGGAGGGACTGGAATCATACTTGAAGTGTCAGAAATTATACTGGAAGTTCCTGAAATCATACTGGGAGCAACTGAGATCATACTGGGAGTGACTGGAATCATACTGGAAGTGCCAGAAATCCTACTGGGCTCATACTGGGAGCTACTGAGCCTTACTGGAAGTGCCTGGGTCCTTATTGGGAGTGCCTGAGGTCATAGTGGGATTATACTGGGAGAGCCTGGAAGTGACTGGGATCATACTGAGAGTGATTGGGAGTACCTGAGATCATACTGGGAGTGACTGGGATCATATTGGGAGTGCCTATAATCATACCGGAAGTGCCTGGAATCTGACTGCAAGTGCCTGAAAACCTACTGGGCTCATACTGGGAGGGACTGGGATTGCACTGGAAGCGCCTGAAATCCTACTGGCCTCTTACTGGGAGCTACTGGGCCTTACTGGGATCTTGTCCCCCCCCAGATCGCCCAGCAAAGCCAACGCTGACCTTGACTCCTCCCAGTGGAGTCACCATGGAAGGTCAACCCTTGGAGCTTCTCTGTGAGGCTCCACCAGGGCCAGGACCTCTCAACTTCCACTTTTTCCATGGCCACCAGGAGCTCCTCCACAACCTCCAGGTGCGCTTAGAGAACCTCCAGATGAGGTCTGAGGTCCACCAGGACCTCCAGGTGAGCATTGAGGTCCATCAGGACCTCCAGGTGACCCTTGAGGACCTCCAGGTGAGCTTGGAGGGTCACCAGGGCCTCGAGGACCTCCAGGTGAGGTTTGAGGTCCATTAGGACCTCCAGGTGAGCTTGGAGATCCACCAGGGCCATCAGGACCTCCAGGTGACCCTTATTGACCTCCAGGTCCTCCTTGAGGTCCATCAGGACCTCCAGGTGAGCTTTGAGGGCCACCAGGTCCATCAGGGCTCCAGGTGGGGTTTGAGGTCCATCAGGACCTCCAGATGAGCTTGAAGATCCACCAGGGCCATCAGGACCTCCAGGTAACACTTGAGAACCTCCAGGTGAGCTTGGAGGACCTCCAGGTGAGGTTTGAGGTCCATGAGGACCTCCAGGAGAGCTTGGAGGTCCTGAAGGACCTTCAGGTGAGCTTGGAGGTCCATGAGGAGAAGGTGAAGGTCCTGGAGAACCTTCAGGTGAGCTTGGAGGTCCATGAAGATCTCCAGGTGAGGTTTGAGGACCCTGAGGAGAAGGTGAAGGTCATGGAGCACCTTCAGGGGAGCTTGGATGTCCATGAGGATCTCCAGGTGAGCTCTGAGGTCCATGAAGATGTTCAGGTGAGGTTTGAGGTCCATGAGGACCTCCAGGTGCTCTTTGAGGTCCACCAGTGCCATCAGGACCTGCAAGTGAGTTTGGAGGGCCACCAGGACCTCCAGATGACCCTTGAGGACCTCCAGGTGAGCTTGGAGAACCTTCAAGTGGGGTTTGAGGTCCACCAGGACCTCCAGGTGAGCTTGGAGAGCTACCAGGTCTGTCAGGACCTCCAGGTGAGGTTTGAGGTCCATCAGGCCCTGCAGGAGAGCTTGGAGGTCCTGAAGGACCTTCAGGTGAGCTTGGAGGTCCATGAGGACCTCCAGGTAAGATTGGAGGTCCATGAGGACCTCCAGGTGTCCTTGAATTCCATCAGGACCTCCAGGTGATCCTTGAGGAACTCCAGGTGACCTCCAGGTGACCTTGGTGGCCCTTGTTGACCACCAGGTGACCTTCGGCCCTTCCTCGGCTCAACTACAGTTCTCCCAGTCCAGTTGGAACCTTACTGGGAATTTCACCTGTGGCTACGAAGAGCTCCAAGAAGGTCATTGGGTCCTGTCCCACCTCAGTGAGCCCAGGGAGGTCCTTGTTACTGGTAACCAGTTCCCACCAGTTCAAACCAGCTCCCACCAGTTCCCACCAGTAGAAAGCAGGAGAAAGCTGAAGAAACCAGGAGAAACCAGTTCAGACCAGTATAGAGCAGTATAGACCA